AAATCCTTCTGTCTAATGATAGGTCAAACCCACCCAACCTACCCATGGTTTCTTCAATCTACAGACAGTCATGTTTCTACATGGTTTCACCCATAGTTCTACAGCTGAAGCGCATCACGCTCTGCAATCTGTCATTGAGTTACAAGTTTGCTTCTCCAAACGCTCAGGCTTTCAAGACCCCACAGTATCCTCATGTCTCCTTGTTGCCTTGACAGGTACCTCATTCAGAGGTTAAGGGAAGCTACCACCACATAACCGCAAATGTTAATCTTCACAGATATGACTGTTATTAAAATGACAAGATGTCTGTAAAAGATCAAAATCTGGACACAGCATGGACAGCTCAAGGAAAACCAAAGCTACTTCAGTTGGAAAATACAGTCATTTGAGAAACCCGCAAAGCCTAGCTAATATTTCATTTTCCACAGGAGGTATGCAGCCCACCTTCATCAAAACATTATAAAGCCCCTGAACTTTGGTCAACCTCATCCAGGAGGACATGCTTCTTACCTCTGCCCTCTTAAAAACTATCATCATGCCCTCCTGAGTAAGGATCCAGCTAAAGCAATCAATAACACATTTATCACTGCAGGAAAGATTTGTGTAACTCAGTGCAACAGAATGGAGAAAAACCCAAAAGGTACTAAATGGTACAGATGCTAGAGTCTTGCTTCCTGGATGGCCTGATCAGATAATTGTTTTTAAAAGTGTACCATTTCCCAGTAAACGTCCAATATCAAATGAAGATTAGTCCTTATCCATTAAGCAATTAATAGGGCCAGTCATAGGCAAAAAACCCCAAACAAACTAATTTTAAACCTCAGCAGCAGCACACATCAGCCATAGTAGACAGCAGCTATCTTCTTCTGGCAAAATTCACATCATGCTGAGTCTCTACTTCGAATTAAAATTTAGAGACAAAACATTTTACCAAAGGAGATTCAGCAGTCACACAAGCCTCTGAAAAGAGAAAATAAGTCAAACCCAGGATCTGTCCATGTTAAGGAAACGTTGGAAATGCACTGGAACAGTGGGGAAGATCTTTATTCATCAGAAACACATGGCAACACCAATACTGCCTTCTACCTTCAAACCCACTGAAACTTTTCCTTATAGAACTTCGCATTAAAAGTGAAAAGCTAAACTAAACACTAATTAGTGTTTTTACACTAATACCAATTTACACTAATACTAATAATAATTAATACAAATAAAGCTTGAAAATAAGAGTTGCTAGAGGTTAACAGCTTACCAAGGACTACATCACTGGTCTTAAACACTAGGTGTTTTATTACCATAGAACAGATGAACACAAGAGAAGCAGAAGGACAACTAGCGGCTAAAATCTGCTCACCTAAAGCGAGACATTTGAAGCCACTTCATCCAGAATGACATACCATTCCTGATATTGCTAGGAGTGGTGGGACGGAAGGAGCCCTGCAAGTAGAGGAATTAACAACGTATGGCTTCCTATATGGGAGCCTCTGGGTTGAGTTTTAGGAGAGAAATCTTGCATCTTCTCAATTCCATGACAGAGGTATCTTTGGAGTCACAAAGATACACTTTGGCAGAGGCCAAAGAACTGAGAGAGATGAAGATGTATGTTTGAATCCTGGTTCCCTCGTTGGTTGACCTTTTCCGTAACACTAACAAGAACTGTCATTATAGTGGAGAGCTTCTTCCTTCTAGCCATCCAAGCAGAAGAGCAAAGGGTTCAGAAACTATGTGGGACATGACAGGGCACAGACCAAATTCTTAGGCGAGTTTTAGTTCTATAGGGCAACGCATTCCAGCAAGAGAAACATAACTGACTCTTGTTTGCGAAGATGAAGTTATCAGTCATGCCTTCCTGAGTCATTGCAAAAAATTCCATGAGCCTCTCATGACACTACAGAAAAAAAGTTTTAACATACAAAGTTAATGGAGCAATATCAGATGTAACAGCCTCCCTCTGGATGAGCAAATGGACAGTGACAACCTTCTTGGATGTCTCACTCCTCCAAAGACTTAGAGAGCAGTTTTAGTAAATGGTTTCATTACCAGTTTCTACTCATAAAAATGAAGAACATTTGAAGTACTTCAAATGCATGGAAAAGTTGCATACAGACTCAGGTTTCCTTTCACCAAGGTCTGACGACCCTATGTTTTGCCGTAGATTATTTGCATTACTATAAAAAAAAAAATTCTTACTTTATCTGAAAAAGCTCTTTTATTTAATAAATATTCCATTTCCTTTAAAGTCAGGAAAAAAGTAATTTTTAAGCTCATTCAACATTTCCACTACCAGCATGCTAACAGAGATACTTGCTGAATTTACTTAACACAAGAAAAAGTGCTCAAGTACACACAGTATAGTTTAATTCCAGGTCTCCTTAATACTAGCCAATTCAAAAAAAAAAAAAAAAAAGCACTGCTATTAAAAAAAAAAGCTATCAGCCCATAATTAGATGCACTAGATTTCACACAGATGACATGAGAGCCTTAAATCAATACCAACATACCAACAATAACATAGTCCCCGCCAGATCATGCTAGGATAGTTCTGCAAGAAGTTATTTGAACTTTTTAATTCAATTACTTTTTGCAACGCTAAGAATAGCAGTAACAAGTTAATTTTCAGTTGGTTAAAAAACAGCAATATATGTTTCTTTTAACAAGTGGATAAAGAAATCTGGATCTGTGCTGCTGATTTCCGAAACACAGTGATGATGGTGGGGAAGAGGTACAATCCTGGGCACAAAGTTCATAGTGCTGACAACTTAGCGGGGAGGATTTTCCTGGAATAGCTGATTTTGTTGAGGATAAGAGAGCAGCTTCCCCTGTGCTTCAAAGTGCAATATTACTCTGGTAAAATACCACTAAGAGTAAGCACAACTTACTTTGGATGAGACCCGGGAAAAGACCTCCAGGGAGTTTTAGGATGCATTTGTGCTTAGCCTCCTCCCTCTCACTTCAGCTGCAAGAGCGCTACTTCCTTCCTCCTTCCAGTCTTCCTTTATTTACACCCTCTAAATACTGAAGTAAATGTGAGCAGGGGAAAAAAAAAAAGAAATAAGCCCTCTAAACACTGAAGTTGGAGAGGGTGCAGCTAAAAATTTGTACACATGAAAATATTTTTTACCTGCGCAAAGGTCACTGCTAAAGAAATACTCACTACACTGATCAGATACTGCTTCACTTTCTCAAGTATTACCGAGTTGATCACCAAACCAGGTCTGGTTACTTTTTATTTTAATTCACATTATAGAAAAACAGGGCAGTTGGACAGATTGGCTTTTTAAGGGCATTTCAATCTCCCAGGAACATTAAGTACACAAATTATTCACCGCTTCATTAACCAAGTGACCAGATAGTAATGGCCTTCAAATTTAAACCACATTGCCTAACATGAGCATATCCTCCCCCAGACTCACTGGTTGAAGAGTAATCTATTTTCCCCCAGCTCATTCTCCCACAGCTCATGGGAAAACAAAGCCAGGCTGTTCCCAGCCTTTTCATGGACATTCCAATAAGCTTTGGAAATAAGATGAACTTCAGCGGGTAAAGCTGTGAGCACAAAGATGCAGAAGAAAATCATTGTGCTGTCTAGTTGCAGTCATATACTACATTGCAATTCAGAAAATATCTTTTTTTGTAATCAATCCTTCTCAAGATTCAACTCCTTCCCTCCAAATACAGAACTCTCAAATATTTCCAAGGTCCCTCTGACACAAACATTTTTACAGCTGAAAAAGGTGGATTTACTCATGTATTTGCTAAGTAAAGTTTCCCTAAATATTTGTATCTCTATAGCAAACAAGCATGAAGCTGTGCCAAGTCTGTTTGTATAGGATCATCTCCAGGTAGTGTTTAAATAAGCACTAAACAAAAAACAAAAACCCAACATTAAGTCCTGGTTATGAGACCTTCAAGCTTATACTCCAGGTCTGGGTGGATGCTCAGCGCCAGCGCACAGAAAGCTCACAGCTCTCCCTTTTCCCACACTGCTTTAAACCCCTTTAAAAGCAGCTAATTCACCCAGTTCCCACTTCCGAGTCTAACAATGAAGTGCTACAACAGCTCCTCGGATAATCCCTCAATCCTAATACCCACCATTAAATGCGAATTTTGAAAGTGTATTCAAACAAAACATCATTGGGGGGGGGGAAATGAGCCACCTTCAAACCTATGTAAAAGAAAATGATAAAATAGTGAAAGCTTGGTAACAAACTTGGAGGCAAAGAGTTTAATCCTTGGTCTAATCTATTTCTTTGTCAAAATGGGGCAGAGGAGGGAAGGAATTAATTCTCTCCCAGCTAAAGTCAAGGTATTAAAAGATTTTTCAAGGAATCCCTCCTTCTTTGGCGATTCTGTATGTGTGTCACCTTCAACAGCATGGATGCTACTTCATGCTTTGATTCCAACTCAAAATTAAACTCCAAGTTTGTTTTCCAAATTAAGATATCAACACACCCTTTACAGCATGTTTTTGAGACTCTGTCCTCCCCCAAGCTACATAACTACGAACATCTTCAGCATCAGCATTATTCCCAATATCTGACAAAATAATCAAAAACCAGAGAAAAAGTATTAATGTTCACACTACATCTGAAGTCCTCTGGCACTACCACAGACCGGAGGAGAGGTGATCACCTCGCACTGGTACCAGCTCAGCTTTGGAGGTGCTGGGTTAAGGGTTTTTTGTTACATCCAAGCCTTTATCCTTATGAAAACCGTTGCTCAAGATAGTCACCATTCTCCCTCTCCCAAAGGTAAAGCATTAAGAAAGGAAGAAAAATTTAAACAAAAAAACTCAGGTCTACAGTGAAATCTAAAAGGGGAAGCACATAGTGTCCTGCATCCAGCTGAGCGTGGAAGCCTGGGGAAGGGCTGTGCTCCACAACAGGGACTGCCAGATCCACTCAAACCAGACACACAGCATCTACTCCCTTTTGATCAGAGTCTGGACAGCCCAACCGAGCACAAACTGTACTAATATTTTTTGTTTTCCTCCTGTTTACCCCTTAAAACTTGCAGCTGCAGCGGGAAGCTTCTCCTTCTCATCACAGAAGCCCCACCGGGCCACGAGCTGCAGAACAGCACGTAGAGCAAGTCCAGTTCCTCCGCCCCCACGCGTTGGATGCCCACGCGGAGGAGCTCCAAATCGATGGCTGACCCCACCCTGCCGAGCCACAAGGTCCGAAGCTTCCCACGCAGGGGTGCAGGACCCATCCTGGCAGCAGGGGACCACATTTCACAGGTCAACTGTCAAGTGCAATCAGCAACAGATAAATTGCCTGTGCTTCAGAAGAGCGTGGTTGGGGATTAAATAAAACAGATGTCAGCATGAAGGACATGCCCCATCCCTCTCCTGTCCACAAGAAGCACCTGCTTCTTCTCTCTTCCTCTTGCTCCAGCTTGGAGGTCCTCACCAAACATGCAGGGAGCTGCAGCCGTTTCAGGCTGTGGAGCAAGGGAGAGAAAATGGCCACCGCGGTAGACAAAGTACGCTCCAGGCTTGCACGTTGTTGAGATTGGTGACAGGACGGCAGAGAGAAATTTCTGTCCTTGCTCTTGATGGTTAATGGCGAACTCCTTTGGTAGATAAGGGTTTGTATAGGGTGGAAGAGTTGACCTTCACCCTATCCCCCTCAAAAAAAAAAAGGGGGGAAAGATTTTTTTAGTTCATTTAAGCACTTAATATTTTAAATTTATTAGGGCATTATCCAACAGTAAATTAAAGCATTGTGTTGCTGGCTTACTAGTTTGAGTTCTTCAGTGTTACAAAATATTTAGCTCCTCAGAAGAGTGTAGGGAGGGCTTTTGAGACTATATAGGCACATAATCTCTCAAGAATCAATCCAAAGAGCTTTAACTGTTATTCAGCATAAAGTCAGCAGAGCTTAAATGAGCTACAGCAGTGGTTCACGCTGAATAAGATTATTTTGCACCAGGTGCTCCTGCTAAATGCTACTAGAGCCCAGTAACCTCAGTGGTGGGGCTGCAGTGATAATCAACATCACTACAGTATTCCAAAAAACAGTCTGCAGCAGCATTGTCTACACAACACCAAAGGACGCCACTTCCTACACCAACTTTTCCATCTCAAGTTTTTCCATCTGTAAAATTTTTCCTCCCCTTCTCCGACTTCCTGAAGTTTAATCCATGCTGACAGCCCTCTCATTTCTCCAATAACTTTGTAAATTCGATCGCAAATTCCAGCCAGCAGAGAGGTCTCAAGAGTCACTGAGATTTGAGAGAGTCACTGAGAGTCACACAAGGTTTGCAGAGCAGTCACGTCGATAAGGATTTAGTATCCATTCAACATTCCTGTTCTCACTCAGTTATATCTTCCATTACTAAAGCAGGAGCAGAGATGCAATTAATCCCACCTGCCAGTGGAGACGCACCCAATAACACATGCCTAAATGTTTCTCCCAGAGTTAATTCAGACCTCATCAATATAAATGAATAGCTCACGTTTCCTCTTCACCGTGCAATACTAAACACATCCATGGGGGTTTTCATCTGCTGCAGTGCTATAGAATAACCTGATCTTGCTGCAGCCTTTTGAAATTCCTCTGAAACCACCTAACCAACTTCATTAGCGCTAACTTCAGTAGCTGTCATCTGAAAATATTACCTCTTCACTTTTTAAAGAGATTAAAAACCACATATGCCAACAGAGCTTCTTGAGAAATCCTACTTATAACCTCTGACGAAGAGTGACTGCACTTGTTTTTCCCACCTCACCACAAGCAAATCCTGAAGTGTAAAAGCTTTCCAAGGCTACCCCACACTCTAGCAAGTGCTCTCATAATTTTTATTTTTTTTTAAGTAGCAGGAACGCACCTTAGACAACTTTTTTTCTTCTTTCACTGAAAAGGGACAAGCTGGGTTTAGGAGCATCACTGCACTCATCCACCCATACCCTACTCCCAGTCCAGTGCAGCCATGGGCCTCTTCCCTCCCTCTCTCCCCAAAAACCGGCCCATCACCAAAATACCTTCTTGGCTCCAGATAAAGATTCAAAAAGTCTTTCAAAATTAAAGCGGGGGGGGGCGACGACACACACCACTGGAACAACAACTTTAGAGCTTGAAGCATTTATTAGTAGCTCAGCCACCTCACAGCTAAGCTCCTATGCTCACCTTGCCCTCACTTTGAGGTGATGCTACTGTTTTCTCCAGACCACAGCTGTCCCGAGATGGATGTCTCCATCCAAACACTATTAAGCTCATTAGGAGAAAGAGTGAGTGCCCTCCCTTGGTAACACTGGCATTTGGCAGAGTTTACTACCTGAAGCTCAGCAATGAAGAGCAGAAAATGGCTTGTGTGTCACTTGCTCTCCCAAGGTCAAACCTCCAACTAGACGGTCATCAAACTGACCCAATGTCATGCCCAGTGGGGCTCCTCCAAACGTTTCCAGTGCAGAAACCCACTCAACTGACATCAATCCTTCATGAGTTCAACATTGCCAGCTATAAACAAAACATCAGTAAAAACAAGGATGCTGCTCTGAAAAGAGAGACTAGCACATGGTGAGCCCCTCCCAAGGATGTAAGAAGGCAGATGAAACCATGACCAGGGTGCATTCCCACCCCAACACAACAGCTCATTTTGTTCCAAGCTCAAAAAAGGCAGATGGGCTTTAAGCCTCCCAACCCAGCAGAAACGTCTGGTGTGACCCTGCCCTGGGTAGGAAGAGGTGTCGTACCAGCTCAGGGTGCTGCTCTAGAAGCAGTGGACTCCAGCAAAGATAAGTGACCCATGCCTAAGCTCTTTCTCCCACTCCTCCTCCTCTGTCCAGAAGCTGGGAACAAGTTTTGTAAACCGCTGCTCCAGACATGGAAACCAGAGCAGATCAAGCATATGTTTATACGTATTTACACATTCTGTTTACAGAAGTCTCTGGAATTAATAAGATAAATCATTTCATCTGTCTGCAGGAGCTGAGGCAGGGGAGAAAACACTGTAAATTCAGAAATAAGCACCATCCATCTGTTCCTCCTGACTGCCCCTGCCCACCCTGCCAGCTCGGATGAGCTCTTTGAACCAGGTTTCGGCAATGCAGGGTGGAAAGCCTTCTGCATCACCCTCACCTCTCACTCACACACAAAATAGCAGCTTGTTTGGCCAATAATCCACGCAGGAGGCCCTGGGAATGAAAGCACCATATACATCCCGTCTGCAGAGGTAAATAGACAAAAAGGGTGCATGCATGCACCCGTCTGATTTCCAACCTCAAATATACCTCATGTGTGAGCCCAAAATGTTGCAATCTCCCGCACGTGCCAATGACCATCCCTCATCACACAGCTGGTGGGATTTCAGCCTTCTGTATTGCTTGAACTGATGCAGAGCCGCAAGTACTGCATGGCGAAACACTTACTGCTGTAATCAAAAATCAGCCACAGAAACCTCAGCTGTATGTAAGACCTCTTCTTGGTTTTCAGTGTGTTGACATCCTGAACTACAAAAGAGCGAAACAAATAAATCTAGCAGTCTACAGATTTTGAATATAAGCAGAAACTGTAGCTCTTAGGTCAGTAGGGAACAAGACAAAAGGAGGACATGCCAATTTATATAAAAATCCACAGGCACCTGGCACACGTGTAGCCCCTCCAGCCTACTCTTCTTGAGATGTACTTCTACTACAATTTCTGCTTTACAAAACAGTAGAAAAACCCAAATTCAGAAATCAGCTTGCTACTGACGATTGTAAAAACCAGTCCAGGGAAGATGTGGTGGGGAGAGGGCTTCAAAATTGTCTGAAGGGGAAATCTCATTTGAGGGTTTTTTCCTACCCACCTCCTTTTACTTTCAACTATTTTAAAACTTCAAAGCTCTAAAGACTCAGAAAGAAGGCTTTTTAGACATAGCAGGACAGCTCAGGGCCTTTCCAAGCTCCTGTAGCAGCATGCAAGAGCTGTTCCATCACATTAACCCATGAGAGGGGTCAACTCCATATATTCTTAACACTCAGTTGTGCAAAACTCATCTTGCACGGGAGTCTCTACCACAGGTCAGCAGCAGTCCATTGCTCTAGGGCCCAAACACCACTGGCACCGTTCAGATTTCAGTTTTAATAACCCCTTGGGCAAACAGGACAATTCACACCTTTCACTTATTGCTAGGGTTACTGCAACTGGGGTTTACGGAGCACCCAAAGAGAGGGACACTCATCATCTCGTAACGTGGCTGTGAAATCTCATCAATTAGGTGTTTGCTTCGTGAAAGAAAGTACAAAATTCTGCAGAACACGTTAAGCTAACAAGAAAATCTACAGGTAGAGAAGCATCAAGTCCACAGACCTTCAATGCAAGCACATCCCACCAAGAGGAACAGCAGGGGCAACAAGACATCACTTCACCCTACCAGCACACTCTTTGCACGACCACCGAGTGAGATGTTCCCAAGCTGCCAGCAGAGAGCTCACCAATTCAGCTTCTCCTTTTTCTTCTTTCTAGTCATTTAGTGTTTTTTCTTAAGGTGGTATCTCCATGTTAAATGGATGTAAGCACCCAAAATAGAATATTCTGAGAAGTTACCTTACAATTAATTGATGCTTAACAACCAGGGGGCTCAGCAGTCCGCTTTGTGATCGCTACCTGGAAAATCAAGATTGTCCTGAGCAAGAAACCATACAAATCCCAAGAGGCACAACTGCACAGGGAGAAGTCCTCAACATAACACCAATGCAGTGAATTATTGTATCACTGCGTGAAGAAACATCATGAAGAGGATTTTGAAGTTTTCAAAACCAGATGGGACAAAGCCCTGAGTAACCTGGTCTGAATTCAACATCAATCTTGCTCCAAGACAGAGTCTAGACTAGAGGACCTCCTGAGGTCCCTTCCAACCTCACTTCTATGAGCAGCAGCAGAATGGGATTAAGATCCAGGCTGTAGACAAATAGACACATAAATACACATGACTGGCCTCCCATGATAGTCAATGGCACCCAAGCCAAGGCAGTCAGGGGACTGTGGAGAGCAATCACACTAACACAGACACCACGACAGTGAGGTGAAGAGCTGTCAAGATTTACTGACCAAAAGCTCCACATGGACACTCACCACTGGGAGAGGACCCAAGTAAAATACCCAGAGCATATTACAGCTGCAGACCCACATGCTTTGCTGCTGCAGCCTTCAATACAGAAGACAGAATTCTCGGTACACACGAGGGTCCAAAAGGGCTTAGAAGCACACAGAGAAGTTTCCTCATTT